TAAAATAAAAAATTTTCCTCCCCAAACCTTTTATATTGGAAAAAAAAATTAAAATAAAAAAAAAAAAAACTTTAAGAGAAAACAATTACAAGATACAATAAAATATTAATTTTAGTACTTAGAATTCTAAGTGAGAACTAGAAACATGTTTTTCACTTAATGAAGGATTTCAGTATTTCCCAATTTTAAAGTTTAACTGAACCCTCTCTGTTAGTAATATATTGTGTCCACCATTGTTCTCATAGAAATCTTTAAAGAGCAGAAAAAATATATTGTAGCATTTACCCCCCCCCCCCCCAATAAGTCTACAAGTTTGCAACACTAAAAATTGGGTTTTGAAACCCACGATAGGCAGATAGTCCATTGTATTGCTTTATGCTTCAAACAATTAGACCAACCAAATAGATTTTCTGGAAGTAGCTATAGTAAAATAAATAGTGATGAGAAAATAAAATTACACTAGTGATCCAGAAGAATGTTTAATAGTAACTGTTACACCCCATTATCACTGTCAAACATCAAAAGAAGCCTTGTTTTACTGAAATTTTGGATATTCTTGAAACTATAGAACTTGAGTTTTTTTTTTTATTTTGCAAAACTTTATTTCTTGAGAAATCTTTCTGTCCACAGTTATCAGTAGCTCAAGCAGCTCAGCAAGAGCATTTTCAACGTCAACTGATGATGGAAAGGGAGCAGATTGCACTTATGGGAGGAACAATACCACCTCAGCTCATAGCCCAACATGAAGAATTTTTTCGGTAGGAATTTTTCATATTTTAGAACTAAAGATTTGGTGTCTTCTGAACATAGGATAAGTTTTTAGTTGACAAGATATTTCAGTAATAGTATATTTAGCCTAAAAATAATTGACAGCGGTTTCTTTCGTTGCAACCATTGTATCTCCAAACCAACTGACCAGACACTGTAAATCCCTATTCTAACCACAAACAATCAGTAAGTTACTGTTATCAGGTCATCATAGCATTGTTTAGACGGTCGGCTGAAGTTTAGAAGCTTAATTTGTAGTTGTTTTAACCTCTTTGTTATTTATAGATAATACATTGAAAGCATTTTGATAATACTGAATATTAAAAACAAGACTTACCATCTGTAAAATGCAACTTGAATATTAAGTACATCAGCTGTGGATGTATACTGGGTATTAAATGCATTACATATGACCTGTGGAATGTACACTGAGTATTACGTAGGTTACTTATCATGTTTGGAATACATACTGGGTATTAAATATGTGATATATCATCTGTGAAATGTATACTGGGTATTAAATGCATTACGTATAACCTGTGGAATGTACATTGAGTATTACATAGGTTACTTATCATATTTGGAATACATACTGGGTATTAAACACGTGTCTTATCATCTGTGGAATGTAT